AGCCCAGCGGAGACGGTGTTAGCTGGGGCGGGAAGGACACCAGACCTTCCTCCTGCTTCTGTGGGAAGTCCCTGGTCAGTGTTAGGGGAAGGAAGTGGCGGTGATGGGGGACGCTCCCTGCTAGTGATGCCTTGGACCAGGAGGTGGGACCGGACAAGTCCAAGGCCACACCTGACTGTCATGGGACGAGGTGAGGGGAGTCAGCACTCGCCCTAGCAAGGCAGCCAGCTAATCACCAGAAACCTTTGCTGTGTTTTTGTCATCTGTTGGATCTCTAGCATCTATGACCGAATAAATAATTTTATATTAATTAACTGGATCTGATACTAAGAATTAATCATCTTCAGGGATCCAACGATTGTTTTTTATAGTTCAAACCCAATTCTGCCTAAACCCAAATTTTAGGATATATATTGCATGTAGTACACAAACATATGGTCAGGCTTATATATGAAATGATAATAAAATTTAAACAACATTGCTGTTCCGAGTATGTGGACGAAGTCCTGTGCACCTTCATGTTGTGAGCTGATACATCTGTGGTTACAGAAAAAGATGTAAAGAACACCATATCCTGAGCAAGATGCTCACATGCTGGCGTGGTCTGGCCAAGCTGCTCAGTGTTTTGGTCTTGTTTCATGACTGCAGCTGGATGAGTGGGCTGAGTTACATGATCTCCGTGCTAACATCCAGCTTGTTCCTGGGACATGGTAAACATCAGGAAACGCTAATTTTTAAAATTATATGCTTATTGGTCATTTCAGCAACCAAAAATTACTACAGAAAAAGAAATGTCTGAAAACTAATTTCAATAAAAATTGAAATTAATCGCACTATGCGCTTGCAGTGAATGACTCAAAATGAAATCAAGAAGAAGATTCCAGTTACAATGGTTCCAGAGGGATACAATGCTAACTAACTGATACTCTATGAACTACAGAACGCTGCTGAAAGAAGTCAAAATCAAAATCAAGAGAAAGACACACCATGCCTTGGAAAACGTCACATCGCTAAGATGGCACCATTCCAAACCTTTAGCAGAGTCTCAAGGGAACTCTCAGTAGGTACTCAGCTGATCTAAAGTTCACAATAACTGCAAGATACAAAGCGGCAAAGCAGTCCTACAGACGGACACTGTTGGGCTACTGAGATGTAGCTGGTCATAGAGGAATCTCGCCCAGCGAGAATCCTGGGGGAAAAATCATCTCACTGCTGTTGCCTTCACAGCGGTCACAGCTCCAGCATGTACCTTTTAAGGCCATTATTTTATAATAGTTTTGTTCTCGTGTTTTTCATGTCTTGTGTGAAGATTGTTGGGTTGAACAAGGGACATATAGCTACCTAAGCTTTACATTGCGAACCTCAAACAATAAAAATGTTTGATGCTTGCAAGAAGGGGCTGCCCAGCTGTGGAAGTGGCTATTTGATCAAGGCTGTGGTCGGTGAGGAAGGATAGTGCCACAAACCTTTGCCTAAACCACAGCGACATGAAACTATGATAGTTTCTTAATCACTTTTCTTTCCAGCTAATAGGCAAGGCAGAGAGGCCATATCAGCCGTCTCTGTCGGACTCCGACAGGACATACCCAGAGCTGTGGGCAGGGCAGAGGTGCCATAAACACCTGGGAGCAAAGAGAACTTTTCATAGAAATACATATCGTCAAGATGAAGCGAAAATGACATTTTACCAAAAATAAAACAACAAATTATATACAAGTAAAAAAAAATCAGGGACCTGGATGGAGAGATAATCCATGAAGTCAAAATAATAACTGACATTTATTTATCTACTGTGTGTGTGTGTGTGTGTGTGTATGAGTCCCAGGTGGGCCTGAGGACCTCCGCTTTGTGGCCTTGACAACCCTCACCTCAGAGCAGTCATGCATGGAGCAGAACCCCTGCCACCACAGGCTGGATCCACCCCGGCTGACAGCGTCTAACCTCGGTCTCTTTCTCCGCTGCACAACTGCCGGGCTCCCCGGCCTAAGGGCGCAAATCCATTGTCCAATTTCCTTACAATCCTTCAGCCACCTTTACTTCTCATTTCCCACCCTGTGTTACATTTCACCTCGTCGTTCTTGGGACTAAAACAATGCCACCGTGACAGCGTGACAGCACGCGGGTTTCATACTGCTGTAATTCCTCACAGAGGCTGTCAGGAGCATTCCACATACGATGAGCATTAACTCATCATCCGCAGAGAGACCCAGGCGAGCCCTGCTGGGGTCTTTATGCTTTCCTCTCTGAATAAGGAACGTTTCAGGAGAGACTTCCAGGCTCAGGCCAAGGACGGAAACTTCTGTTCGGACCCCAGGTTGAGTACAAACGTTGACTCTGCCTCTTGTGGTCTGTGCTCAAGAACATTTGTTTGGGTTTTGATGAAAGTGAAGAGTGTTGCTAGCCTCAAAGTGCATAGTAGTTCCAAGCAAATCCAACGGAATTCTTATTCTGATCCTTGCCTGCTTGTGAGCATGCGCCCATAGTGCGTGATAATAGTGAGTGATGCTGGGCCCAGCAGGAGCCCACAGCCGTGCACCTGACACTGTGTCAGAGCTGAGAGAGAAGAGCCCCTTGCTGCACGTGAGGAGCCCACAGAAAAGGGAAGGCGGCGGAGGGCGTAGGTGGCAGGTTCCTGGGAATCTGGAGGGGTCGGCTGGATGCTTTGACGTGTGTGGTGCCCACAGGAGGAAGTGCAGCATAAATTCCCCTCAGGACCATCCTCCATCACAACGGCCAGCCTGGCGCACCGCTCAGAGCTTAAGCTACAGGGGTAAAACGGAAAAGGGAAGCCACAGAAAGGTTCCACCTCACGGGCCTTCAGAGAAGAGAATTGTCATCATCATCATCATCATCATCATAGTTGTTATCATTAATTACTGTCTCACCTGTACTGTGGTCATTAACTAGTGCCGCCGGTCACTGTGGCCGCTTGGCTGGTGGGTAACTTTGCACTGTTTATTTCCTCACTATCTTGGCAGGTGAAAAGCTGCCATGTCTGGGAAGAGAGTCTCAGGGGTCACGAGGACTGGAATTGTCTGTACCGAGGAAACAGGGAGGGGTGCTGTCTGTTCATGCTTTGGTTCTGAGTGGCCATGGCCACTTTCAGAATGAGCTCCAGGACTCGCCTGGGTTCATTCCCTCACCTCCACCATTAACAGCCCGGACCTTCTGATTGACCCAAACTGTGAGGATCCGACTCAGACCAATGCAGCTGATTCGGGGGCTTATTGGAGGTTTAAAATTCTTGTTTGTTTTAATGTGTCTGTAACTGTGCAGCATCTGCGCAGTGCCTGAGGACGCCAGAAGAGGGCGTCAGATCCCCGAGACTGAGTTACAGATGGTTGTGAGTCACCCGGTGGGTGCTGGAGACTGAGCCCGGGTCCTCTGCAGGAGCAGCCAGTGCTCTTGACTGCACAGCCACCTCTCCCGCCGCTCGCTGGCAGTTGAGTATGCAAAGCATAGCTAACCTGGGGGTCCTGAACTCCCTGGGACTGACGGGACGCAGAACTGAAGTGCCCTCTGTGCTCCCGTGACGGAAGAGCGGTCACTTTCACTTGTCCCTGTTTAAAGCCTCTCTTTCTCTTCTGCCCCGTGGGTGTGTGCCAGCCAGTTCCAGAGCTCAAAGGCAGCCCTGTCCCCTCACCCTCCTGCCAACCCTCACCTCACCTAGAACCTTTTCCCAGAAAAAGCCCTCAGAAAGGCACAGCCATGACTGAGTTCCGTCCATCTCTCCCTACCCAACCCCAAACTCAGCCACCCCACTTCCATCTAGCCAGGCTTCTGTGACAAGCAAGCTTCGTCCAAACACCGCTAAAACCAGACATCATAATGAACTATAGAAAGAGGATCTACTTACTGGGGGAGGGGTAGCTCTTACACACATAAAAAAATCTGAATTCATGTGTTTAATAAGGAGTATAATGAATTAATTAAATATTAAAAATTTTAAGGCTGAAAATGATTTTTATGTTCCAGAAGATAAACATTCTCAAAGACAAACGTGTATACATTTAAAGAAGTTCCATTCAACATCTACATGAGTGTCCATAAAGCTGAGGCCGTTTTTCTGGGACTCAATACGAAAAGTGACTGAACACCCTCACCACGCGAGCCCAACACCAGAGTGAGCTTGTAAAATAATTAACCCTCCCACCCCCACGTTCTTAATTCTTCCTGGGCTCTGTCTACTGTCCTTATATGGAGACAACCTTTCATTTACTTTATAACCTCTATAATGACAGTGATAACAATTATAGCGCTGTAATAAAGAGTTGATTCTAAAGATAGTTCTGTAATACGGGTTCTCTGCGCTCTGCCGGCCCCTCACTCCCTGGCCTGCGTCCCATCCCGCCAAGGAAGCAGAACTGGCCTCGGAAGCTGACCTTGAACTCACAGCCAGGAGCCTCAGCCAAAGCACCTGGCGCTGGAGGCGCTCTCTCCAGCCAATGAGGAGCAGGCGTGCGGCCGCGTCGCTTGTCTCCGGAGGAACAAGCTGGTGGAACCCACGGGAACGGGGCCACCGCACAGCGAAGGCGCGTCCTGTCACAACGCGGGCAAAAGCTGGCCTAAAGGGAACTTCCTAATGTGCTCAGTGAAACCAAGCTGAGGCCCTGGCCCGGGCCGCTGGAGAGAAACATGATATAAATCAAGTAAATCAAAGTCCGAAATTAGCAGCAAAAACCTGAAAACCAATAGGAGCGATAACAGGCCTTAAAGGGTGAAAATCGATGAACTAATTCCATTCACCCCCACGGTCCTGCCTCCTCCGGAACAGCAGCGACGGGCTGGCCCTGGCGCGGGCTCCGGGCAGCCCTTCTTCACCGGAGGGTTGGGATCTCCCTACTGCGCTTATCAGACGTGCTGTGCCCTGAGGGGTCGGGAGAGGGCGTCAGTCCCTGCAGCTGGAGGGACAGGCGTGCGTGCGTGTGCGTGCGTGTGCGTGCGTCTTTGTTTCTCCTTTATGCCGGGACCCGCGGACGCACCCGGGGACGGGCTGGAACCTCGCTCCCGCCGCGCCCCGCGCCCCGTCTGAGCGGGGCCTGCAGCAGGCCCGGGGCTTCCCCGGCCTCTCCCGGGCCGCTCCGCAGCAGCTCTGCCCCCGGCAACCGTGACGTCATCGCGGCGGGATTTTCTGATTGGTCGGGCGGCGTGGGTTTGGTGCGGGACCCGCGGGGCCGGCTCCTCACAACCTCCGAACCCCGAAGAGCTCCGGAGAGCCGTGCGGAGGCCGCGGGCGACGAGGATGCCGACCAGCCGCGCTCTGATCCTGGGGGTCCTCGCCCTGACCGCGCTCCGCGCCTGCGGAGGGCAAGACGACATCAAGGGTGAGTGCCGCGGTGAGGGATGCTGGAGGCGGGAGAGCCGCGGAGAGGAGAGGCCGAGGTTCGAACCCCCGCACCGGGCGGAACCGAGTCCCGCGAGCGGGGGTTTGCACCTTTTTGGGCCAGGAAGTGACCCGGGAAACGGGCAAAAGGAGCCACCGATTCACCGGACAGTCCTCTTGAGTCTTGGTTTCCTCGTGTGTCCCCTCACAAGTGACCAGGTCAAAGAATGTGTGCCTGTGCTTTAAAAATAGCGAAAACCAAGCTGGGCCTGGCAGTGCCGTGCCCGCAGCTCCAGCGCTTAGGAGCCAAGCAGAGGGATCGCGAGTTCAAGGACAGCCTGGGCCACGGCGTGCGCGCATTCAGAAAAGCCTCCGTTCACTAGTAAACGCCTGTAGGTGCCAGTTTTTCCTTTGTCCCCACTCCAAATACAGTTTCAGATTTTTGTAACTAAGTAAGGGACACGGGCTGCCTGATCTCCACCCCATCTGTGCCCCGTGAAGCTCTATAACAGCACAAGACATTCGACCCTGAGTCCCCCTGCCTGTGTGGCCACCTCTCCACACTCTGCCCTCTCTCAGGAGCCCTCCTTAGCTCCATGCCACTTTACAGACGTGAAAGGAGATGTGGAAAACAGCAGCTGAAAAGCCAAATGGTTGAAGCAGGAAGTGAAAGGGACTGAGAGCATTCTGAAGCATGTCTGTCTCGCTCCAGTTTTGTTGGGAGGTGGAAGTCTCCCTTCCTTCCCCAGGGGTTGGCTTCCTTGTCCCCAATTTCTTTCTTCAGCGTCACACTAGAGTGCCTCAATCAGGCATGCGGGCTCGGTGGGCACAGTTCCGAGGAACCACAGAACTGTAGGGCTATGTGAAAATATTCCCATTTCTTTTTAGTTTAGAAGGGGGAAAAATGAAGTGTTGAGGCCTAAGGAAATGTTTTGATCTTCACTTAATCGTCTATTACATTTTTCTTAGATGTAAAATGTGACTTTCGATATTTTCATCAAGGAAGGGCCCCAAAGCTAAATGCACGGGGCACACAGGTCCTAACGCAGCCCTGGCCATTACTGACCCTGACTTCCACGTGGTTCTGCCACCTGTCAGTCGTTTACAAATTCTCTGGGGGCCTTGAAAGAAGCCATTCTCACTCAGTACTCTCCTTTGCAAATCACTGAAGATGTGGGTGCTGAAATATATAAGCTGCCACCTGCTGGAGGAAGTGTGCAGACTAGTGAGGGAGGCAGGTCAAGGTCAGGAAGCAGAAAGGCCGTTGCTGAGGACAGCTGTGCCGGCAGGAGGCAGTGCGGTGTCCTCAGCAAGGCTTGTGGCCCAGGACAAGCACCCGCTGAAGGAACGCTGTGCACATCCACATTTGGGAAAGACATCCAGAAGGTTCATTAGTTGTGGGTACAGAAGCTTTGAGGAGGAGATGTGATGTGGGGATTGCCTGATAAGACCAACCAAGATGGCCACACTGAGAAGGGAAGGGACAGAGGAGCAAACATGGACAGACAGACAGACAGAGGGGCTGGGGTCATAGTATGGTTGGAAGCCTATTAACACTAAGCAGAGACCCTCAGAATAGAGAAGGGTTTTAGCAAACCGAAAACCAACAACAACCTTCATCTCAGTGAGGAAAAAAAGGCCCCTGCAAACAGAAGGACCAGGACAGGATGGTGTGGTTGGTTTTGATTGGCAGTCACCTGATTCTATAAGCTTTTCCTTTTCTTAAAAAAATGAGAAAGACTCTTTGGGTGGAAAATGTTTTTTATTTTAAGAAAAATAAAGCATTGTAGATATGTTATTAATGTATGGAAAGTTAATGAGACACAAAACCAAATAAGAGAAGAAAATGAGCTGCCTGAATCTTTGGAAACAAAGCTGAATACCTGAGATTTTTCTTCCTTGATACAGTTGTAAGCTATTTGGCTTAAGCCGTCTGTGTACCAGACACTGAACCAGGCCGTGGATGGCAGAAATCAAACACATGCCATCATGTAGCATGTGTCGCAGAGGGAAAGACTGGTCTGTAGCCAACACCGAGAGTGGTAGGGAGGAGCGGGCGACGGGAATGTACCAGAAAATGAAGCTGTGGTATTTTTTTAAATTACTTTCTGTCTTTTATTTAATAACATTCTTTTTCTTCCTGTTTTCCATTTTCCCACTATCCACCTAAATTCATCAGCTGACCACGTGGGCAACTATGGTACAGTTGTCTATCAGTCATACGGACCCAACGGCCAGTACACGTTTGAATTTGATGGTGATGAGTTGTTCTATGTGGACTTGGGTAAGAAGGAGACTGTCTGGAGGATTCCTGAGTTTGGCCAGCTGACGAGCTTTGACCCCCAACGTGGACTGCAACAGATAGCTACAGGAAAACACAACTTGGAAGTCATGATTAAGAGGTCCAACTCTACCCCAGCTACCAACAGTACGTGCTTGCCGCCCTGCTCCTCCCTCCCTCCCCTGCGGGAATATGATCCGTATATAAATGAATCTGTAAAATCCTTTCCAAGGAGCGCCCAGATCTAATCACTGAACCCTCATCCTCTCTCTTCTTACAAACCCGCATTCCATGTTACCTTGTGCTCGTTGTCTCTTTGTTCCGACCAGCACTCCTCGAATCTTTCGAAGAGCGCCTGACAGACATCCTACCTAACACCCTAGAGAGGCACAGGGATACGTGGACGCAGGGCATGTTAGCCACAAGCAGGAGGGACGGTCGGGCTCCTGGATCATCATGTGTCTTGGAGAGAGGGCTCCCCCAGACAGTGTAGAAATCAGGGAGAGAAACTCCCATCAGCCACTCACATCCAGGCTGCTTCCTTTCCAGAGGTTCCTGAGGTGACTGTGCTCCCCAAGTCCCCCGTGCTGCTGGGTCAGCCCAACATCCTCCTCTGTCTGGTGGACAACATCTTCCCCCCTGTGGTCAAGATCACGTGGTTGAGAAACAGCAGGTCAATCACAGACGGCGTTTATGAGACCAGCTTCCTCACCAAACCTGACCATTCCTTCCAGAAGATGTCTTACCTCACCTTCATCCCTACCGATGATGACGTTTATGACTGCAAAGTGGAGCACTGGGGCCTGGACGAGCCGGTTCTGAAACACTGGGGTAAGTGGGGTTTCTGCCCACTTCCGGCATTTCTAGAACAGCCTGGCTTCTGGCCTCTACTGATAAAAACTCATTTTCCACTCTTAAAGACTTTCTTTAATGTATAACTTATTTAACATATATGAGTGCTTTATCTGCATGTACATTGCATAACAGATAGTTGTGAGCCACCATGTAGTTGTCTGAAATTGAACTCAGGACCTGGGGAAGAGCAGCCAGTGCTCTTAACTGCTCAGCCATCTCTCCAGCCCCTCTTAAGGAGTTTCTAATGATAGATTTCATAAGCCCAGAACCCAAAGTAGGAGCTGACCCTGTCCTGCACACAGATAAACATTCTCTCTTCTGGCCCTGTCTTACACACACACACACATGAACATACTCCCTCCTGGCCCTGTCTTACACACACATACATGAACACACTCCCTTCTGGCC